AACCCAACCCCAACCCAAACCCAAACCCAAACCCAAACCCTCTGTAGAGAATTCAACATAATGTGACTGCTGAATTAACTAAAATATACCAAATTCAACAAACCTGTAATTTTTGGTATGTTTAAATTTTCTTAAAATTTTGAAATTAGGAAATCTAATTTTTTCATCAATTATAAAAAAAAATAAAAACATTAACTGAATGAAACAGTAATTGAGAAAAAATGTTTAATTAAAACCAACAAAAACGAAGCAGAGTTATCTTCTAAAATAATTGGTTGATATAAAATTTTTATTTCTCATGTATAATTTACTTCATATATCTAATATCCTAATATATCGTTATCCCAATAAACTAAAAATTCACCTTTGCTTGTTAGGGAGCCATATGTGTTTTTTGTTAAACATTGCATACAATAAATTTTGACCAGCTTGCCATTTCCTTAGTCCTAAAGAAAATGTATTTGATTTTTATGTCTAACCAGAATGATTTTATTTTAATTAATTTCAATAATTGGAAATTCAAACTAATCTTCGATTTCTTAATTCTGAACCAATTCAATAGTTTTTTCTTTATTTTCTTCAAAAACACCTTTTGTTGATTCAAAAATAAATATTTTATCAACTCCATCGTTGGCTGTTACCCATAAAAATCTGTTGTCAGAAAGGAAGAAGATTTTTTTTCCATATAAATTTTTTGAATCTTTTTATTTAACAATGTATTTAAATGTCAATTTATCTTCTTTTTCTTCTTTTCCCCAAACTATTATCTAGTCCTTCTAATTAGCACAAGAAATCAAAATATTTTCTTTTTAATTTAAAGATAATGAGTATATAGAATTTTTATGCTTATCCAATTAATAATGAAACTCTAATTGATTTTTTTGAAAATCCAACTTCCAAACAATTATTGATTTATCGCAACTACCAGAAAAAAGTAAGTCTTCCTCTTGATTCAACAATAAACAATAGACTTCCATTTAATGTCTATGAAAAGGCTTTGAGCTAACCCATTTTTCATTTACTAATTTTGTAATTACTATTGTGCTATCATCTGAGCCACTAATAAAGGCATCAATTTTCTTGCTATAAACTAAACAATTAACCCATTTTGTATGAACATCCAAGATTTGTTTAAGATTGATTATTCCTTTATCAAAACTCCAAATCTAAATTTGATGCAATTTAGTAGAAATCATTAGAGTATTAAATTAATTAAAGACCAGACTTAAACAGCAACTGTCTTGTTTTATTTAATTAATTTTTTTTAATTTTATATTGTATTCTGGAACCTTTATTTTTGTTTCTTTAAAAAGTTTGACCAAGATTTTTTATAATTCCTCCAATTTCTTTCTAAAATCATTAGTATTAAACCCATGGATCATTTTCAAGAGATAAGCTCTATTTGTTTCATAAAATTATTTTTCTTTTGATAACATTTATTTCTAATTTATGCGATCTAATTCTTAGAGAAAAAATTGGGAATTGTTTTCATTATCTTTAAATGTCATCTTTGTTAGATCTTCTTTCCAATTTTCAATTTGCGATATTAAACTGCCATAATAAAAGTTCAATTAATTTAGAAGGTTTTTAACTTATTCTACAATTTTATTAAGTGTATTCGTTTAATTTTAGATATCATTTTTTACTTCATTCTGTTTACTCTCAATTCTAAATATAGCATCCTTCTGAGAAATCGCATTTGATTTCCATTTGCTGATTTTCCAACATTTCTCACATAATATCCTTTCCTAATCTGATAATGAAGAGTTTAAAACTATATATTCAGGTTAGACATCATTATGGTTGAGACATTAAAATGCAAAATTCATCTTAAATAATTAATAAAATATAAATTACCTTAGTAATTTTTTTAACTTTTTTTATTCACCTTTAATTATTTAATATATCATGAGCCGAATAATTTTTGAAATAATTGAAGAGATTTTCTATTTAATTATATGTTTGATATGGTGTTATGAGAAACAATTTTTAAATAAGATAATTTTGTTTTTTTGAATTTATCGAAATGATGATGACTATATTTTTTTTGTTGAATTTGTCTATATGTCCTTAAAATAAACAATAAATAATTCAAGTTTAATATTGTATATTTAATAATTTATAAAAATGGGGTAATGCACTTCAAGTGATGGGGATCCTTAACCAACAAGTAGACTGTTAAAAGCAAAAATAAGGGAATTTCCTAATATTGACTTTTATAAAGGTGATTATCCAATCAGCTTACATCCATCAATCAGTTTTCATCAAAAGCATTGGAATTCCCATCATCAATAACATCAATTAACCAAATTTTACTCTGATCTAGAGTCAGACAAATAGTATATGCAATGGTTATATCCTAATTTTTTTCAATCATTTTTAAATATGAATAGCTTCAGATTGACACCACAAGAGAGAAATATGTTCTTATCAGAGCCTGAGGTATATATTTAGGTTGATTAACAAGATTATGAAACTTTACAAATAAAATGTAGGAATGTTTCTTCGATTTCTTGGAATTATCAGGAATGAAAGATAACAATTAGAGATAATAGATAATATTTAATTGGATTAATGTCTTTTTACTTATACTCACAATTTAAATAGAATTTAAAGATTCATTTCATCTATGAGTATTTTAGGAATGAGAGAGGAAGCCTTAGAATTTTTGCACTTACTACAAAATAAATTGAATAAGAAGCATAAAGTTTATCTTTCAAAATTTGTAGGTTATGAATAACTTTTAGAAGAAGGAAATTTGGATTCTACATAATTGAGGTAATTTGATTATATAATCTTAAGCGATCCAAATAATAAAAAAAGTTTTGGAGAATATAAAAACAATTATGTTTAAGAAGATTTGTGTGAAAAACCCTGGGTGTCAATAATTATATTGACAAAAGAATTCATTGAAATTCCATTATCAGAAAATTCAATAAATGTAAAAGTAGCAGTTTGAATATTTTATATGTTTTTAATTAAATAATAATTCTGATGATAACATAATTTGAAGAGTAAAGTTTATTAAGATCACCAACAACAAGTAAAATTCTTTAATTTACTTCTGATAATATCTTAATTTGTGGATCAGGAAATAGATTGATGGAGTATAATTTATATAACAATACTGTCAAACCAATCATTAATACTAGATATAATGTCAAATATTTCAGCGTTTATAATCAATAATTTTATTCAAGCGTGGATGATTAGAACAACATTCTTTGTAATGGCAAACATATTAAAAGCAAAAACTCACAAATCAAACAAATTAAGCATAGTCCTGATGGAAAAATGATTGCAATTGCTTATCATAATAAATTAATAATCTATACTTTAGAGATGGAGAAAATAAAAGTGCATTCAAATAAACATAAAATTAATGGTTTTTCTTGGTCACCAGATAGTCGATTTATTTTATCATGGGGAGATGATAATTCTGTCATAATTAATAATGTTTTTAAACTGAGATTATATACAGATATTATGTTGCAGGCTCATAAGTTTAAAATAGCTTCTGCATTTTTTTTAGTATCCAATTTTTAATATATTGTAACAATCGATATATTAGGAAAAGTGTGTTTATGGAAGTTTGTGATGGATTATATTACTGAATAATATGAAAATAGATAGAAATGTTAAAAATCTAAACCAATGCATCATTTAGGAGTTGAAAATGATTACTCAGAATATTAAGCAGATGAATTACTTTATATGAGTGATTTTGAAAGGAATATACATAAAGGCAGATTTATTTTAGAAAAGAAAATAAATATAAAAGAGAAGTTGGTAAAACACTTTGCTTCTATAAAATCTATTGCTTATCATTCAACAAATATGGTGATAGTTGGAATGAAGAATGGAGTTTTGACTTTATTTAAAATAGAACCATCTGAAGATCCATTCTTAATTTAATTGTAAAGCTTTTAAATAACCTAAACACAAATTGATACTTTAGCTATCAATAAAAATGGGAATTGGATAGCATTAGGCATGAGAAATACTGGTTAATTGATTGTTTGGGAGTGGAGATCATAAAGTTATATATTAAATCAATAATCATTAAGTTATGAAACTACATGTTGTACAATTAGCTAAGATTTAACAACTATTGCAGTCGGAACCTTAGGCGGAATTATTCGCTTATATGATTAAACTTCAAATTTTTGTATAGCTAAATTTAATGATTAACATAACTCTAAAGTAACGGGTATCAAATATTGCCCATCTAAATAGGGTGTTTTGATCTCATGTTCACTTGATGGAACTCTTAGAGCATATGATACTATTAGATTGAAATGTTTTAGAGTGATGCAACCAGAAATATTGAATTAATTGCAATGTTTAGATGTAGAACCATCTGGGGATTTAATTTGCGTTGGTGGATTTGATCCTTATGAAATCTATGTATTCAGTTTATAAACTGGTTAATTAGTAGAAGTCATTTCTGGTCATTAAGCCCCAATCACTTCATTATCATTTATTTAAGCAGAGGAAAAAGTATTATTAGTTTCAGGTTCTTGGGATAAAACTATCAGAATCCATGATCTTTATGCAAGAGGAATGAAGGAAGGAAGTGGAGGAGATTCAATGTTACATAATAGCGAAGTCACTGCTCTCGCAGTTAGAGATAATTAAATTGCTGTAGCTACTATGGGAGGTGAATTAGTAATTTGGGATATCAATGAAAGTTTAATCTTATTCACTTTTGATGTACATAGGGATGTCTAAGGAGGTAGAATTTCGAAAGAGACTTTGGCTGCACAAAAAAATTAGAATTTAAAATTCTTTGTAACAATTGAATTCTCCAAAGATGGGCAATATTTACTTGGAGGGGGAAACAGTAAATTTATATGCCTTTATGATATGAAATACAGAATATTGATTAGAAGATTTGTTCTTTCAAATAATCTGTCTTTAGATGGAATGAAATTAAAGATTAATTTTAAAAATATTGATTAAGAAAATCAAAATATTGAAGAATCTAATGATGAAAACTAGAAAGAAAATTTGCCTGGAGCCAAAACTTTTGATGTTTCAAAAAGAAGTACTAAAAGAGTACCTGTATAAGTCTTTAATCTACAATTTACAGAATCAAATAGAGAATTTATAGTTTCCTCATGTGAAGGAGTTTCAATCTTTGGCTCAATAAAAAGAAGATAATATTTTGATCCTTTAGATGTCGATGAAACTGTATCTTTGGAGGAAATTTAAAAATAAATTAATGAATAAAACTACACTGAAGCTTTGATATTAAGCCTTAAGTTAAATATAGCCATCATTTTAGACTAAGTCTTTGTTTCAATTCCATTAGATTCTATTATTAGTATTGTGCCAGCTATACCAGAATCACTAATTGTTAGACTATTAGAAACCATAATCATATCCATGTAAAAAAATAGATAAGTTGAATCTTGCTTGATTTGGATTAAATAAATTTTGATAGATTTTGCATCTTTGATTAAAGGATCGACTGCAAATAAAAAAGTATTTACTAATATTAATCTAAAGGTTTAAAACGTTCTTTAAGAAGTCTTAAAACAAATCAGACATGATTTTAATAGAATAAAAAATCCGATTAGAAAGAGTATCAATATTTTGGAATATTTATCAAGTTGATAATATGTGGTTGTATAATAAATTTTAAGTAATCAAATATTTGCATTTCTTTCAGTAATTGATGTAGGCTGGCTAATCTTTCTTTTAAAAACTTCTTTTTACTATCTAGTGGATTAACTTTGCTCTACTAATAAACTGCAACTGCTTCTTGATATATGTTCAGAAGGGCTTTTTTCTCTTTAAATAGAATTATTAGGATATCTTCTTCTTAAATGTTTAATATTGTGCTAAGAATAAAATGAATTATCGATGCTGTTGTTTTTTGTAGGCAATTTTTTTACAAAATTTTAGTTTTTTGGACTTGTATCAGATATGAGTCTTTCTTCAATTTTCAAAAGATCTTCCAATTTAACATGTTTAAATTATTATTGAGGTTACTCTTGTTCTCTAAGCGATGGCAATGGAGATTCAAATGAAAATTCTTAACATATTGGCATTTATAGAATTTATTCTCTCAATTCAGGTGATCTTTCATCAACTTGTTTCGAATATGATTATTATTATTTTCTTTATATATTAATTACTTAAAGAAAAAAGTCCATGTATATCTATTTATCAGTATTTTCAGCACATTTCATAAGAATTTATAAATTTGAAGGCTCAAACAATTTAGCTTTGTCTAATATTTAAAAAGCTTTCCTAATTTAATCAAATTCACTTGTTTTATTTCTTGAGCTTTCTAATTTTGAATCCCATTCACCAATATCATCTATTTGTGGTGGTTATATTTGAGAGATCTTGGTGAGGTCAAAAGATTAATTATCAAGCAAGTTTTTGTAAGCTTCTCCACACAATTCACTAAGATCATGAAATTATTTTTGTGTTTCTTGAAAAGATCGAAGAATAATTTTTCCATTTCTTGCATTTATAATTAGATTTCATTTTTTTCTTTTAAAATCTATTTTTATGACTTAGCTAAAGCAATTCCTGACTTTTATAATGAGTCACACATTTTATATAATTAATGTAGTTTTGTTTAGATCAATTGTAATCTACTAAATAATTGAATAAAGTCTTGTAATTATATTTCAACAAATGTAGTAATCTTCTAATGCTTATAGGGTTTAAGAATATTGAAAATGTAATTCAAATTTTCAACTAATAGTTTTTTTATTTAATTCATTAATTTATAAATTAAGATAATCACTCTTTCTTTGCTATTAGATTTGTATTTGTTCTAGCATTGACAGTCTTAAATTTCTCCATTTTAAAAGGTTCTTTTTTTTCAGTACCTTTTATAACTGCTAGTTTTTTATGATTGCTTTCATGAAATAATTACGACGCCTTATTTGGTCTTACGATTGTGTTTGTCATTTTTTATTCCTAAATGTATATATGTGGTACTTATGAGCCAGCTCTTTTGTAGTATTTGTCTAAGGTAATGGATGCAGCTTCTATTCCATACGAATTACCCATGACTAATTTCATAGGAGTAGAAGGTCTAAATTATTTATTAAGTAAATAATAATAACCTGTTTTTTCTTCCATATCTAAACTCCTCTTCTGGCAATTCAATTGCTTAAATGTTAGTGCCTTTTTTGACTTATAATCGAGCATCATGAGTTTATCTGAATTTATACATATCCTAAAAGAAATTTGATTTAAGTTACATGAGCAGTAAGAGATCCATTGAAAACAGACATCTTATTAAGCTCAGCAAAATCTCGATTGGGAATTCTCTCCTAAGATTCTTGGTGAAATTTCCAGGTCATTGTTACTGAAATGATATTAGACAAAAAAATATTACCTTCCTTTGCTCCTTCTTTATCTCTTATAAGTGGAAGGCCATATATAAACTCCTATTTTGGTAAGTTGTATGTGGATGGTTTTGGTTTTCCAACATCATCTTTCATAAGTACTGGATTTGAGTAATTATGAGAGAAGGGAGGAGTTGTATACATTATTAATAAAAATATGAATTTATTAAAGTATGACTTTATTGCCTAAGAAAATTTGAAGTTCTTAAAAACATACAAATACAAAGGCACAGACTAATCATTATTGTACAACTACATCCTCTCACCTTTTGCGAATTGGTGTTTGAAGTATGTGCCTTTAAATGTGGCGTAAAAGAATATTCATAAAAAAAAAGTCCTAATACACTAACTCTGTTGGGACTAATTTGCATCATAATTTGCCACATTTTATTTTATTTTGTGATGGGAGACAACTTTTTAGGAACAATACCTGATTGGTTATTGTGGACAACGTTCATTTTACACATGATCTATATGGTAATTATAATTTACCTAAATTAGAATTTTGATAATTTAGATGGAAAACAAGCCAGAAGAACAAGTATAAGAATAAATAAATTGTGTTTATAGATAATTCATCTCCTTTAGGTATGATTCTGGATCACAACTTTGATTCTATGATAATAGCAATATAAGGTATTTTATGGACGTAATTTAGGTACGAATTTCGTCACATGCCTATAATGCGGATAATCAATATTGGCATTCTTATTAATATGCGTCCCAACCTATCCATTCTATATCATAGCGCATGAAGAATACTATACACATGAGATGAATTTGCCAATAATTAATGCAGCTGCAGAAGGTACGGTCTTTGTTGGGTCATTATTTGCAATAAATGCAATTTTTGGTACTTTCAAAATTATATTTTTAAGGTTGTGAGTTTTGGACCATGAAGATACCACAGTTTTATAATTTATAATTCAACACTGTGGCAATAATATTATTTTTTTTTGTTGTGGCCTTCGGACTTCCTTTTGTGTAAATAAAATTTCAAATATTATTTATCAAGGTTCAAGAAAATTACAAAATTTGTCCCACTCTCCAAAGCATTAAAATCTCAAACCTATATGCTATTCACGGGGATAGTGTTATTTTATGTCATACTCTTCTCTCCAAGTGATGTTGGTTCAAGACATATGAGAGCTATTCTATATATTTTTGGTTTCACAATGAGCAAAGCTGTGGTATTTATATCTAATTATTATTTAAGGGTATTGTGGCTGTGTACCATGTAAGCAATTAAGAATTGCCTAAATATTTGAATTCTATTTATCTCTTCTTGGTATTGCTGTTTAATACTATATATGGATAAATATTTGGATAATCTTTAATTGAGGAGGGATTGTTATTATAAATTTCAGCATTCATCACTGTTCTTGTCCACATTCATTTCTTGTACAATATAACTAGATAAATTAGTGAAGCTTTGAAAATTAAAGTATTTAAAATCAATAAATGATTAAATTTATAAATGGATATTAATATTGGAGAAACACTCTTTATCATTATAGGTGCTGCCATTTCTATTTCAGTCGGTGAATTAGTATCATGGTTTCTTGTTTATAGAAATGAGGATTATAAGGACCTAGTATCAAGAATCGAGACTGCTGTTGCTAAATATAATAAGGAAAAAGAATCATTTGTTAAGTAATCCATTATCATATGCATGTTACCAGAGAAACCAATGCTAAAAATTAAGAGAAGAGGCTGTCATAAATTGAATCACAAATTAAAGGATTAAATTATGAAATGACTTTTAAAAAGATGATCTCTAATGCTGCAGTAGCTATACTCTCTATTGTTACGATAAATTCAATTGGAAATTATTACTCAGGCATCGTAGTGGCCAAATTACCATTTGAACCATTCTGGATTTTACAACAAATCACTCATAGAGGGTTAAATGGTGAGGATTTAACCGACTGTTCATATATATTCATTTATGTCCTATCTGCACTCATATTTAAATCTAACATACAAAAAATTTTTGGTATATAGTTCATTTTATCATTCATAGGTTTGGAAGGACCTAAAATGCCATTTGGTCCTGGTGGTCCTTAACCTAGTTTGTTCAAATAGTGAAATAAATACATTACAATAATATTTAATAAACTTTATTAGGTGATTCTACTTCTCATGAGCATTCTGAATTTAATATATTTATTATTAAATAATCCAATCAAACTACAACTATCGATGAGCCAAGAGGAATATTAAAAATTAGAAGAAGCTCCTGATGCAAATGCTCCACCCACAATTGGTTAAGTTCAGTAGCCAGTAAAGAGAAAAAATAAAAAGAGAGCAATTTTAAACCCATAATAGAGTACAGGACATTGGAGCGAATAAGAACATAAAACATACCTTAATTTTCTAAATGTGCATAGATCAGTTATGGAATCATCTGATTAAAAAAAAACCTCTAAAATATTTAAACTTATGAGCGAAACCATCGGAACAAGAAGTCCTTCACAATGTAGGTATAATTATTTTTGCATATTGAAAGATCTCACCATTAAAAATTTAATCCTTTCTCTCATCAAGTAAAAAAGAGGTAAAAAGGAGCTGGCCGTAAGAAAAAAGAAAACAACAATCAAGCCGATAACGCAAACAATGGATTCATGGAAAATGCTTGCTTTCCTTAATTTATGTTTTAACCTACTGCTTCTTATTTCCCCTAATAACCTTTTGTAAATATTAAGAATGAGCTTATAGGATTTTTAGATGATGTAATTACAATAGTTTCCATTCATGATGCAATATTTGGATTAAGCAAATAAAGATGACGAAAAATTAGTTTAATAAGACCCATCAGTTTATTTACATTAATTTATAATGAATCCTCAACAGATTTATGATGACAAAAACTAATTTTACAATTTTAGTTTTCCTTAACCATAATAAATGTAATTTAACTTTAATTACTTTTAACCATTACCAAATGAATTCTTTGGTACCAATTCGGCTGAAATAAATTAAAAGGATAACTAATCAGAAGATCAATGATTTAATTAGATATATATATATATATGATCAAGATAATCTCATTCTGGCACTATTCTTCTACTATTAATAATTTATTTTGCTTTATCCCTAAATTTAATTACAACTGTTGGTTTCTTTTTGGAAAATGACATTGTTTTTCTTTGCCTTTCTAATTTGTAATCTTCTTCAATGTCCAATCTAGAATATTTTTTAATATAAACAAATGGATAAAAGAAATATTTAATAAATCTCGACAAATTTTCAATTAATCGCTTATTATAGCAATTACTAACTTCTAAATTAGTAAAATTATTATGAGGTAAATAGAATTAAAAATCTTTTTATAGCTCGAAGTTTTCTAAGCACATGAAATTATCATTTAACTAATTTTAAATCAAATTAGACAAATTTTATAATTAAATTACTGTATGTTCTTATTCTTAAAATTATTTCAATTGTAAAATTCTTTATTCTATTGATTGCCAATTCTCTTGAAGTTCCAAATCTCTTGAAAATAATAAACTCATTTTTGTTTAAGAATCTTTTTCAATTTCTATTTTAAAATTTTTAAGCCTTGTTGTGAATTAAGTTTGTTAATGCTAGGGTATACATCTTTTTTTGACTTGAGTTTAGTCACCTTTAATTGAAATTATTTATTAATTGCTTTTCTAAGCCGTTCCATCCTCCTCATCTTACTTTTCTGGAGTAATTTAACTTTCCTATTAGCTAACATTATCAACTAAAGAAGAATGAGCTCTTGGTAAGATTTTTAACTCATTTGAACTAAATTAATCAACAATTTATTGATTGGTTGAAAATTTCATTAAAGGAGAAATAGTATTTTACCGAGCCGCTCTTTTTGATTATTGTATTTCCTTTAATTATCCAATCCTTTATAACTTTTGTTGTTTAGCTTATACAACTTAAGTAGTTTTTGATATTTGTAATTGCGGAGTTTATTTAATATAATCTCTTACCTCATCTGAATTAATACTTTATTAAGGGGATTGTTCAATATCATTATCATTGATTTCATAATATTGAGATTCTTTCCAAAAATCTTCTTTAAAATATTATGCTATTTCCATCACAATTTTTTAGTCTTTTTTCCCGCTAAACTAATTTCTACTAACTTTTCTTTTTTAACGTATTCTGGGTTGTTTAAAGATATATGCTTGGGATTTAACAATTTTTTCCTTATCTGCACAATAATGGACCATTGGACAATTTTTACTTATGTGATATCTTGAGTTGCACATGTAACATTACACTCCTATTTCTCTCAAAAATTGTTCACCATTATTATAAAGTAAATCATCTCTGATTTGACAGTATTTTTCTTTATCCTCTGGGAACTCTTTCAATATTTTTAAGAATTAATTTCTTGGTAAGATCAATAATTTAGAAAATCCTTTACTTTTATAAAACTCACTACACTATGATCCAGTAATAAATTCATATAAACCAAACACTTGACCTTGACTCAATTATTAAATATATGAATCACTTTTACAATTACTTTGATCTTAAATAACCTGGATTGTTCCTAATTCAATGAAGGCCAAATAATAATTTTAATAGGAGTCGGGTTAATCAGAAAATTCAACCAAATTTTCTGGTTGAACATCTAAATACCTAATCTTATTAACTAAAGCCTTTGTAAAACTAGGAGAAAGAAATTTAGAAAACATATCACAACTATTTAAAATAATTGAATTTGCTTCTAACATTAAGGAATCTCGAAGATTTTCTGATAATTATTCCAAAATACCTTTAACTTCTTAGGAAATCTAAGTATTTTGACATTCCCAATAATATGCTAAATATTAGCGTATTTTCACCTATAATTCATATGTAATTTTCTTTTTTGCCATGTAAGTATTAATCACACGTAATTTCTGCAATTTCTATTCACTATATTTTGATATTTCATCAATAATCGCACCAACTGTATTAACACTATAGGGTAATTGGATACTAAAGATCAAGATATAAATTATGCATGTAACATATTCTAAATTAGCTAAAAATAATACAATACTCTACATTATGGAGTTAAATCACCATATCCAATAGTAAACATGGTTACAGTACAAAAATAAAATGATCTCAAATATTACACTATCCATTACTCGTTTAGTATATCTTCTTTAACCATCCAACTAGTACCATTGGTTACAGAAGTGCTTATTCTACCACACCCAATCCAAATACATGCAGAAATGTGCAAAACATATAATAATAAAGTGATTAATTTTGCTAATTCTAAGAAACCAGCCTGAATTTTATTAAGATTTAAGACTTCTTCAAAAATTCGAATTAGCTTGGTAATATTTTAATATTAAACAGTGAATGATAACAATCCAATAAAAACAAATGGTTCGTAAACACCAATCGAATCCCAATTTACAAAAAGCAAACATATTAAAAATATTACAGAAAAGGCATCTAAACCATATCCCTTACTAAAATTATGATGGATTATTTTCGATCTTTCTGATACTATTTATCCAAATTAATAATATGCAGTATTTAAATTGATAAACATGTCAACAATCAATAATAATGTTTATAAAGTAGTAACTATTATTAATTTTTCTGAGTATAATAATCGTTCCTCAAATACCATATCAATAGGGATTAAAATAATAAAATATAATCTAGTTATTGAAAGAATTACATCCCAAATTATTCTCCCTTTATTTTCAGGTTAAATTACTGGAATTTTGTGTAAAACCTAAAGAAATTTGCTCAAAATTAAATTAGATATCCATTTGTATTTAGATATAAATTTTTTAGTGAAGCTTGGAGAAATAGATAAATTCAAAGTTTTCATTAATCCTAGAGATTTAAAAGATTGAGATCTTTGACCAAATATTTCAGTATCATAATGAGATGAGGCATCGTTAATTATTTCCAAATGTATTGGTTGTAATTAGTGAAACATATTTTTATTTCTTAATATTCTATTAACAAATCTTCTTGTGTGAAAATATTTCATAAAACTTCCGCTAACATTTCCTGATTATTTGTGATTTTTATTGATTAATTATATTGATGACTTTTTTTAAATTGGTCTTTGAGATAAATTTTAAGAAGGATGCAATATTAATTGATCGTAATCTTTAAATCCTTCGAAATTAGGTGATAATGGACTAAGAATTACTTTTTCTTTAAAGTCTTTTGAATTAGGAGGAGGCTCAACATTATATTTATTATTTTATGGCTTAGGAAACTAAATTCCAGCATCTGAAATTGATTCCATAGATAAAAAATCTATACATTCTTCTGGCCTAAAATCACTTATTATTAAGTTATTTTCAGTTTCTAAATTAAATTGCATTCAGAATTATTTTTGTAGTTTTTTACAAAATTTTTATGAAGAATTTAAATATAATTTGCTAACTACTCATAAAATTTATGAAACATTTAATAAATAGTCAACTTCTTCAAAGGTCTTCATATCTTTTTTTGGCCAACTCGTCATAATCTATATCATAGATTTCAACAACTAATTATTTGGGTCTTAATTTTACCATTAGACTCATTAAAAAGAACTTAAAGTTCAAATTTCTGAACTTTGAAACAATTAAAATCGTATTTTGTTATGATTTAGTTAATTTGTAACATTAATCAGTTGTTAAACCTAGTAATTTAACTACAGAATCATCAAATACAATAGCTTCAATAGAATTATACACATCAATTATTTTGATATTCATAATAAAAATTTAAGGCATTTCTTGTTCAGACATCTTGGTAAAAGAAAATTTGATAATTCTGTCAAATATCCAATTATATTTTTCCTTGATTTGTTCAGCCTTAATTCAATTTTTTGAATACTTTTTCTTCCAACTATTTCAAATTTACTGTTAGGTAATCCGGTTTCATAATTTAATTTAAATCTTTTTCTAACAACCATTCGTGCAAAGCTTGAACTCTAAATTTTGATCTTTAATTACTCAATAAATATCAGGATTATCTAAAATTATAGTGTTGTGATATGAAGAAAGATTTGTAAAATTCTATTAGTTATAAAGCCAAGAGTTTGGCCTATTGACATTAATCTAAAACCATTAATGCCCATTCCGGATATTTTCTTGATTTCTTATAAAAATATTTAGGATAATAATTTTTTAAATTGCCACAACTAAATCAATTTTTTAATCAATCTATTGATTTTATAAATCATATATTTTATAATTTTATAAAAACTTAAATAATTGAAAATTATGAAAATGTGGATTATCTTTGTATATACATCCTTTTTAAATGTATAAACTCTTCCTTTTTCTAAAAAATTAAACATTTTTTGGTTTGCTTGATTATAAAATAGTACAATAATAATATTTTATTCCAGATCTAAAATGATTATCTTAAAATAATAAGTAAATATTTGAGTTTTTTTTCTTAAATTCAAGCATTTCACTTTTTGGTTTAATTCTTCCTTCCAAAATTCAATTGTTTGCAAATAATTTCGATATAGTACGAATCCTAATAAATTTTTAGTAGCCTCTTTTCATTTTAATATCAATCAATCATAAATTAATCAGATTTTCATCAAATATAATTGAATTTTAGATAGACTTTGCATAGACTTAATTTCCTATTTTCAAACTCTTTAAATTTTATGGTTTTATTAACTATTGTTGTTTGCTTAAATGAGTCTTGAGAATTGTATACTTTATTTTTTTTGACATTGATTTAGAATTTTTCTGAGAATGAAATTAATCTATATGGTTAGTTTCCATAACTATTTATGTTCCTTACAAAAGTTTTTTATTATAACCTTTAATTAGAATGGAAAATTTGGAGTCCTTTCTAATTGAAATTCTATCTTTGTATTTTGATAATACTTATTCTGGGGAAATCATTAGTAATTAGTAAATACAAAAAATAATGAAAAAATGGTTACTAAAGTCCTTTAAGTTGTAATTCTCACTCTCATCCAACCAAGAAATTATTTTTTTTAATTTAAATAAAAAATTAGCAAAATAGAAAATGGATTAAAATAATGAATGTTTTTATATTTTTGTATATATGAAATATCAAGCTCATTGGATTACTAATTAATCGCCTGACTATGGTTTAGAACCTTCTTTAGGTTCTCCTGATTTAGCTCCATCAATTTTGTCAACTTGTCCTGATTTAGGCTTGTTTGCTGAATCAACTTAACCAGATTTAGGTCCATCAACTTTATCTACTTAACCTGATTTTGGTCCTCCTACAACTTCAAATTATCCTGATGCAGGACCAGAAACTTTTTCAACACCTCCAGATTAAGGTAGGTTTCTAGTTAATTTGATTGAGCTCAAACCTTAGTTGCCTAAAAGTACTGAGAGTACTTGATCAATTGGTTATTTAGGTTCATATGGCCATAATTCAATCTAAGATTTAGGTTTAATATTGAATGCACCATCACCAATATGAAGATTCCAATTAAACAATGTTCCTTCGAAAGGTTGATTGAAGCCATCAGCCCCTAAATAGAACCAGAATTGATATGGAACAAAATGTTTGAGTCCATTGAATGAGAAACTATCTTCTCTATTTAAATATAAAGCATAAGCAAATCCTTTTCTAACCTTTGAGGAATAGCCAAAGTAAAGGTAGACCCACTCTCCTTAGTTTTCTTTGATTTAGAATTTAGTAGATAGATCATTTTAATCATCATCATTAGTATCAAGATTTCCATAATCATAAGTTGATAAGATGAATGAATCTTTGGATTAGAAACCAGCTAAGGTTCTATCACCAGCATTGGTAGAGTCCTTCTAATATCCTGGAGCATTGATAGTCAATCTGAAAAGGGATTTAAGAGTTTCTTCACTACTTCCCTTCTTGGCTTATAACCAACCAGAAACAGCATATTCAAGGACACCTTAGTATTGGTCATAGAAGGTCTTGATTGGATTTGGATTTTCTTTTTCAAAGTTCTTTTATTCTCTTAAAACATTAACATCAGTTCTTTATGGAACCTTGAGATTTGGTTTAGGATAAGCTTAGATAATATCCTTAAGGAATTATTCTTTAGATCCAATAAATCCTTATCCAAAGTTGACTCTAAAATCTGAAATCATACCATTGAAAGCTGGATATCCGAATTCATTATTAGCAACTACAACTCTTGCATAGCCATTCAAAGGCATATGTTAGATATCAATGAATTCAATTCTTCCAACAGGGTTTTCTGGTAAATCTCCAAAGAGAGCAAAACCTACAGCTCTTGGTTAATCCTTGGAAGTAAATGAATAGTAAATATAATTCCAATGGCCTTCAAGATAGTCATCATAGTTAATATTTTGAGCAACTGAAATCTTATTTGCCTTTTTGTCATAAGTAGTGAAATGATAATATCCTTTGCCAACCCAAGTTGCTAAGATTCTATTTCCGAATTCTGCATTATCTTCATATTTTTCAGTATTTGTCAATCTAACAAGATGATGGAATGGAGATTTATCATTAACTCTTTGAGGAGTAGTCATTAACCATCTCGTCCACAATCCGTAACCATATTCACTAACTCCACCAACTTCATCCTTGAATGTTACATCATATCCTGGTTTATCAAATTTTTCTCCTTGTGGAACATAGATTAATTCATCCTTTTCTGGTTTCCATTAAGCCTTCTTAGCGACCAAGCTTTGGACTTCTGGTAAGAGTGATTCAAAGTTGCCTTTCTTGGTATCAACATAAGCTCCCTTTCCAAAGACAGCTCCTACTTTTCTAATAGGACCTTCCCATCCTCCTAACATTCCATCTGAACCAACAAACATTGCCAAATATTTAGGGATCATATGTAACACATTTTCATATGGAACTACAACAGTTTCAGATGGGAACTTGACAACTCCTGAGGCCGTTCTCTTTGGCCAACTGTACCCGAACCAAACATAAGTCCAAACACCGAAGTTATTTCCAACTGGTGTGGGTTTTCTAATGTTTGCAATCAATCCATTATCAACAGTTCCTAAAGTGTAAGTTGAGAACACCACTTCTCTTGGTTGATACATTATTAATAAATTTCTATCTCCAACCATAGCAGCTTCTTTTCTGTAAGCAGGTTCATTATTTGTCAATCTCAACAATACATTGTTATCTTTCTTTAAGGTTGGACTTGAATATCTGAACCATCCATAAATTGCATATTCCAATGATCCTTAATATTAATCTGGCCATTCTTTGACTACTGGTCCTTCTTCAAACTTTCTATTAACCTCTTCATCTTAGATTTTGATTGTTTAGATTGCAGGCTCATCTAATTCAGGTGCAGTGAATGTACCCTTAATAATTGCTTCCAAAGCATCAGTATCTGGAACATAACTTTGTGCGCCAAACAACATCTACAATTAAGCCATCTAACCATTGAATCCTTAATAAGTGAATGTGGCACCCAAATACAATTTTCCAAATCCTTCAATTGGTTTATGAGCTATTTCTGGGAATGCTACTCTTCTAATTTCTCCTGTTGATGAGAATTTCACATATCCTAATGCTTGTTATTTAGCACTTGAGAAGCAGAAGTAAACAAAGTTCCATTCACCTTCTAATTTATCGTCATAATTAATATCTTGAGACAAATTTGGATTGTTGTTAGCTAAGTTATATGTTCTAAATCCATATTATCCAGCTGTCAACCATAAAGCCAATGTTCTATCTCCTACTTTTGCAACATCTTCCATTTATTTATTCTGAGTGAATCTGTAGACAGCCATTCTTGCTTACTTCTCCAAAATTCTCTTTGGTATAGCAGTCAAGTATCTCAACCAAACTCCTATAGAATATGCTGAATGTCCATCAATTGCATTAGAATCTAATTCAATTTCTTATTTATCAGCAATATCAAATTGATCCTTCTTTTCATTCCATTTCCATGGTTTAGCTTGAATTCCTAGAGCACCTGCGATATATGGCTCATATGATAAGTAATCCTTCTCTCTGTATGATCCTGGTCCAGCATACAAGTACATATGGGCGTATTTACCATTATAAGGAGTATGAATACCATCTTTACCCGCCCATAATCCCAAATATTTAGGAACTCTGTGCATACATCCTAATTTCTTTTCATTTTCAGTTGTTCTTGTCTTCATGAAATGTACCACTGATTATGCTTTTCTACTGTATGCATAATAAGCATAAACCCAAGCAGTTTAATCAAGAGTTGGTACTGGTGCTTCAGTGAAAATCTAAGCAAAAGCATCATGATTTTCAGGAGTAGTATATGTACTGAAGAAGATTCTGTGATCAACATATTAAAATACTGACAATACTCTATCTCCTGGTCTGACATGATTTGCTCTTGAGGCTTGATCATGATATGATAATGTGTAGACATTTTCCCATGCAACTCTTCCAATTGAACTCCATCTAAACCATAATGAAACTGCATATTCTTATTGACCTGCAAATTCATCTGCATATTCATATGGTTTCATAGTTGCTTCTTCTCTCTTCATTGTTTGAATATCTTCAAATACTGTCTTCTTTATTAAGTTCAATTCTGGAACCTTTGGCATTCCTGGCATATTCTTTTTCAATTCATCAGCTGATTCAATATATCCTCCATTTCCTAATATCAAACTTATTAATCCTAATTGTCCATTGAATGCATGATAATTTTTGAGTAATTTAGTACCTGATGATCCAACAACAAAGTATGCATAATCTGTAATTGGATTGTGAGTTACAACTGGGAATTATGTTGATCTAACTTATTCTCCATTAAATACTATATGTCCTTAAGCCTTTCCTGTCTTATCAAATCTCTTGTATCCATACCAAATGTAATTCCATTATCCATCCAACATTTATCCATATTAAATATTTTGAACAACATTATTGTTTCCTGGAGTATAGGTACAGAAATGATAGAATGGTTATCCTACCCAAATAGCAAGAGTTCTATCTCCTTATTAGGCAGCATCACCTTAGTAATTCTAATTAATAGTAAATCTAGATAAAGCCATCCAAGCAGGTTTATCAACTAATTTATTTGGTCCATTCCATAAGAATCTTGACCAGAATCCATAACCATATTCAGTAACTCCATTGATAGCATCATCTGTAAGTTCAACTTCCTTTCCAACTTTTTAGTCTGGTCCCCAAGCTTAGTCAAAGACATCATCAGCCTTCCATGGTTTCAATTCAGGAACAGCTCTTCCACCAAATCCAAATGTTAATAATTCAGATTCTCCATCATCATAACCATTTTCTCTATATGCTCCAGCTCCAACATTGAAGTACCAATTTTCCATTTAGCCATTGAATCCAGGATGCCATTTGTCTTTATGCCATAAGATAGTGAAGTAAGTAGGTACGAATTAATTAATATTTGGGAAATCTCTGTGTTCATCTGAATCTGGGAATTTAATGAATCCGTGAGCTTTCTATTTCTCTCTTGAATATCCTTAATAGATGAACACCCAAGTCTTATGTAAAGTAGCCTTGTAATCAAAGTTTTGTGGGATAGACCAAGCACCACCATTAACTTAATCAACAGTGTAGACAGTTTGATGATAGAATCCTAATCCCTTCCACATAGACATTGTTCTATCTCCTGGTTTATCCATATTACCAACAAAATCTTTATCCCAACAAGTGACTCTATATACAAGATGCCATGGTCCAATATTTGGAATATCAGTCCATCTAGCCCATCCTGAGATTGCATATTCACCTTTTCCATTGGCATCTTTTTATTCAATTGTAATAATATCTGGTTCTGCTGCAGCATCTATCTTCACCTTATCTTTCTTGATGGGTATAGTCTTTCTAGCCTAATCAAATCTCAATCCATCTGGTAATTTCATAGCTCCAGTTATATAAGCTTTAACTGCATCTTAATCAGCAAAATGAGCTCCATCACCCAATT